GTATTGCATACTCTGCTTTTCTCACAAATAGCAAGCTTTTGGGACACTATTCTGTCTCCATTCCTCACTAGTTCCTTTTTCTAGTTATTAGAACCCTAACTCAGTGTAAAATGCTGATAAATAACATTGGTATCTGAACAATTTAGTCCTGTGCTAAATATTGGAGAATCCACATAAAATGAAGCATGTCTGTAAAACTAGTTCACAGGAGCACACACTAGGACAGGTGGAAAGCATTTGGGATGGACTGGCTGAGGGGGATTTTGAACCTAACCACCAACTAAATTGCTCTATGCCTCATTATCTTTGGTGCCACACTTCTATCATTCCCAATAGTGGAGACACAAGTGGGAATGTCTCCTACTGCTGATAACAAGAGAAGAAGGAGAGATCCAGTCTTATCAACTGGTGCACTGATTCTCCCTACATATTAATCAATGTACAGGAACTCAACCTTGACACTCAAGCTTATGGAGTTCAGTTACCCTTGCAGGCTGTGCAAAGACAGAGACTCTCTGGCATAATGAACTTACATATTCTCTTATACTTCCTCACTAGGCATCTCCTGATGGACCAGCTTGGTGCTGGTGGCTTATATTAACTTTGCCCCTTGATGTGACCCGCAAGTTGGCTGTCTTTTCTGACACATCCCTGAAGAGCCGACTCACTCAGCTGAAGAATATTCTGAATGTCGTTTTGGAAAGCAGCGAATTCAATAGCTAGCTCTCCAGTGTCATCCTGGGAAGAATGCTGTGGCACAAAAGGAGCAAATTCTGCACTGTATTCCCCACCATTTTTCTTGGTGGGGTTGAAGCCTTAACTTTTTTTTGTTTTTCTTTTTGTTCTCTGTGCGTACATGTGTTTTTTTTGCTGTAGACCTGACCCCAGCCAATAGGCAATGAATCGGTAAACTGAAACCATGTATGAAACCGTAGCAAGTTCCACTAATGTTGGTGCACCATCCACAGAGAGTCTTTAATTGACCTTTTTAGGCATAAAAGGCAGTGGGTCTAGAAGTGACATTTGCCGAGGCACCTGACTGGCTTACCTGCCTTGCACTAAATGAAGAAATAGCTGCTTCCTCAGGCAAAAGGCATAGAGTCCTAGGTCTTGGGTCTTACAAATGGGTTCTGTGTATGCTAGATCCTTAAAAAAGAAACATCTTTAGAAAAGGCTGTCACATTTGAGTCTCATTTACTGTTTTGTTACAGATGTGCTCATTACTTATTTGTTTTGGTCTATATGTTGCTAAAATGATCTTTCTGGAAGGCTAAAAAAAGTTTGCTTGAATAGTATCCAGTCAGACTAGGATCTCGGAAACCCAGGTTTGAATCTTCCTTCTGCTGGGTGACCTTGGGCCAGTCACACACACACAGCCCAACCTATCTCACAAAGGCTATTGTGAGGATAAAATGGAGGAGCGGGAAAACAACACAAGTCATTTGGGGTCCCTTCTAGGGAGAAAGTGGAGTATAAATGAAGTTCATACATAAACATATGATCGAAAAATTCAAACACAAGAAATTTCTTGAAATGCAGATGTTTATATGAAATAAAAAATGTTTTGGAATCCAATGCTGTCCACCTTTAAAAAAAAAAAGTTCTAAAAAAGTATAGATTTTTGCCTTTTGAAGTTGGTATTTATCTGCACAGACCGTACCACAAATTGCAGTGTAGTATGAAAGGAGCTGTGGGGCTGCCTTTATAGGTGTTATACAAGACAAGCTACTCATAATTTTTTGTTGTAATAGGGAGTGGTTGCTCCTGAAATATTTGAAGCACTGGAGAAATGTTCACATTGACCACACTCTCCCCATACCCTTTAAATGCTAAGAAGTGTCATGGCTTATTTACAAAAATAATTTTTGAGAACAGCATCAATTTATCTGTTTTTTAAATTCCCAACACAAGGTTTTCAGATTGACTAGCTGATGGTTAACAGCAGGATTGGGAAGCGTATGGGTTTGGGGAGGGGTGGTGGGAGTATTTGGCGGGGGGGGAGCCCATGGTGGCTTATGTGGATGCCAGTTTTGCCCCTTATGTAACTTTTCTGCAAACAAATTCACTAAGTGGCCTTACAGAAGCCACTCTTTCTTGGCCTCCCATATGCAATATTTTTATTTCCTTAATGTATATACCACCTTTCTCCTCAGTGGGGACCCAAAGCAGCTCACATAGTTCTCTCTTCCATTTTATCCTCACAACAACCCTGTAAAGTAGGTTAGGCAGAGTGTGTGTGACTGGCTCAAGGTCACCTAGCAAACTTCCCTAGCAGAGTACAGAGCCAGACTTGAGTCTCCCAGGACCTAGTATGGAACTCGAAACAGTACATCATACTGTCCATATGTCATGATTCTCATATGGGGAAAATAATGATACCCTACCTCATAAAGCATTTGTAAGGATTACATGACCATGTATATGAAGTGCTCTGAACAGTGGAAGTGCTATGTAAATAGTAAGCAGTGTTCCCTCTAAGCTGGGTTAGTGTGAGCTAGCTCACAGTTTTTTAGCCTCTGGCTCACACATTTTTGTCTTAGCTCAGGAAGGATGGCTCCAGAGCAAACTAATTTCTGCAGTAGCCAAATCGCTTGCTTACAACTTTGATGCCAGGAGCTCACAAAGTAGAATTTTTGCTCCAAGACTCCACAGCTTAGAGGGAACATTGATAGTAAGTATTTGGTTTAATTTTTATTCCAAAGTATCTGGAAATTATTGTTAGGCTATAATTTGAATTTATCAGCCTCTCTGCACATTTTGTCATGCTTATATCTGTTTATTTCTCTGCTTACATCCGGCTATCCTAAGGTTCCAATAACCTTTAAAAGGGTTGGGTCAAAACTGGATTAAAAGGGTTGGGTGTCTTTAAAATGGTTAGGTCAAAACTGGGATTGTTTTCTTTTATTCCGTTGTAAACATCCCTGTCTGGAATTAAATACCTAAACAGTTGCTTGGTGGATTTTTAGATATGCTTCCTGGAGATGGATTTGTATGTCTAACCTCAGTTTTTCATACCATCCACTGATATGTATCCAATTGTCCCATTTGATACAGTCTCTTTAAAGGGACCATCATTGGACCACTCAGTTGTTTTCCATTCAACCTCATCTGTTATGAAAAAAGAGACCATGGTACTAGGAGAGTTAGTGCTGAAGTCTCACTTGACCATGGGGTTATTGGTAAGAAGTACATTCTGCCAGCAAAGGATATGCGTGAGTCTTTGTTATTTGCTGCTGCTGCTTGTACCTAGTGCTGTAGGGAATGGAACTATGAAGGAAGTATCTGAAGCAACCGATACATGCACAGCTTTCTTTAAATAGTAAAGAAAGCTGGAAAGTGGAGCTGTGTCAATTGTGCCTCTGCAGCCTAGATGGCCAGTGTGAATGCTCAGGTGAGGGCCCAATCCAGCCAAGGGGTGGAGACCCAGCCAGAGGGCTGATTGGCTGGGAAAGGGATGAGGGGGCAGGGTCCCAGCTGGAGGGAGATGGAGGAAGCCCCTAAGGGCTGACTGGCCCAAGCAGTAGGGGGTGGAGCATATAAAGGCTCTGTGGGCCTATTTAAACCCTCTCAGGGCAAGGAGGAGGTGCTTGTAACTGCTCCTGTTTCAGAGCGGGGGCCAGAAAAGACAAGGAGAGAGCATCCCAACAGAAGGAGGAGGAGGACGGAGGTAAACAGAATCCCCTCCCCTCCATGCCTGAGGTACCTAGAAGCCCAGACCCCACCTCCAACTGGGAAACAGAAGGAAGCTCCAGCTACTTGTCTGCTTACTTCTTTGTTTATATCCTACCTTTCTCCCAATGGGAACCCCAAAACTGCTTACATTGTTCTCCTCTCCTCTATTTTATTCTCATAGATAGGGTTAGGCTGAGAGTGTGTGACTGGCCCAAGGCTGCCAAGGAAGCTTCCATAGCATGAGTGGGAATTTGAACCTGGGTTTCCAAGGTCCTAGTCTGGCACTTTAACCACTACAGACCGCAAAAAGAAGAAACTGTAAGGTAACTGCGCTAGAAAATATTTCAATAACAATCACAAAATTTATACAAAAATTTGTACAAAAATCATATAAATGCACAAGGCAGTTGAAAATGGTGTGACGATGGTCTCCGGAATGTTCTATCGTTTCGATACTATTCTTCCGAAAGTAGATGAAAGCAGCGACTCTTGGTCTGTCATTTCAACAAGTAGGTATCAAAAATTTCATTAATATAAACCGATGTCTCATAACTTAGTTGCAAGAAATTCTCTGAAAGAATGTTCCTTAGGGCAAAGTGCTTGTATAATGCTTGTATTAAGCATTATACAAGCATTCCGGAGACCATTGTCACACCATTTTCAACTGCCTTGTGCATTTATATGATTTTTGTACAAATTTTTGTATAAATTTTGTTATTGTTATTGAAATATTTTCTAGCGCAGTTACCTCACAGTTTCTTCTTTTTGCGGGCTGTTCTGTGGCTGTGACCATCATTTTTGAGCCACTTTAACCACTACACCACACCAGCTCTCCACCTGCCAGGCTCACCTATTCCCTTCTCTGCTCAGGTTCATGGCTTTCTATGGCCTGTGGCAGTGGAGTGCAGGCCAAGCCTCCCACGCCCACTTTTGTGTTAAATTCTGTGCGACTTCCTTCTTTTCTCTGTTTCGAAGACTGTAAATGCAGGAGGATGTGGAACAGCCTCTAAAAGAAGATTGCCCTCTCTCAGCTACATAATCTCTCATTACTCTGTGACACTAAGTGAGCTGTTCCTGGTAGAAGAGTGTTGTAATCACTCCACTTTGCTTGGAATTAATTTGAATTGGTACCTTTTTTATTCCCTGCTGCCCTTATTATTCTTTCCTTGTCAAATTATTTTTTTAGTGCAACATTTCTGTGTGTTTGAATTTTAGTCATGCTCTCATATCCATATGATCAAGACTTTAGTCTTAAAAAGTTTCATGCGATGCACTTTGTTCACACTATTCCTTTGTCCTGGCACACAACAATGTACAAGTCGTAGCCAGCTTTTTCCTTCTGCAGCTGATAGACGCTTGTGTAGTCCAAAACTAGTTGGATGTTATGCCCTTATAAAATGGAGAGAATTAAGAAACAAGGAAAGTGACAATAAGCCAAGAGTATTTCCAAGGTGTGAAGAAACCATGCTGGGCACAGCTTGCATGTTATATCTTGGGTTGAATATGATCCTCATTTATTTGAGTGGGATTTATTTCCCCATTTCTGATTTCGCAATGAAGTCTATTTCCACTAGGTGTCATTGTAGAACAGAAAACTTACAGAGAAGTGAGAGAACACAAATTAAGGGTGCTAGCAATTTATCAGTAAAGGTACTTCATATTTTGCTGACCTTCATGTACAATATCATAGGCTTTGGGTTAACATATCAAGTCTCCTACCTCACCAAGCTCCGAACAGTCTATTTTTTCAGAAGTATCTGTTTTGGGTGCATAAAGGATGGAATATCACAAAACGAAAATGTTCCTGGTTGACATACCAGATAAAATAGAAAAGCTGCTATGTAAGCATCTAGAGTAACATGAGATGATCCATTGCAGTTATTATAGAATTATTAATCTAGAGATGTTTTGATAAACTTGCATGAGTGAATCAATAATAAACTATAATAAACTATCAATTGCTACAGGTTTAATGATCCTTCAGCTTTCTTGTTCTCTTCACCTATCCACCTGCAAGTCATCAGCTGTTAAGTAATCAAGTAACATACATGTGTGTAGATGGGTGGTCATGTGGATTAGAACTAGTTAAGCAACAGGAAGCAGAGAATAGGAGGCAATTAATGGTTCGCACAATGGAGGGAAATAAGCACGGAGGTTCCACAGGGATCGATGCCATTTAGTTTGTTCATAAGCAAGCTAGAATCATGGGTACACAGCAAAATGGCCAAGTTTGTGGTTGATAATTAGATCATTCAGGATAGTGAGATTCATTGGGGCGGGGGGGGGATCCAAATGGTCCTCTGTAAATGGGGTAGCAATAGGGCAAATAGGGTCCAGTGTAATTAAGTGTAAGATGATGCACACTGGGGCAAAATTTCATGCCATTCATACATACACTGATGAGGAAAGAGATCTTAAGAGTCATGGGGAATAGCTTAATGAAAATCTCTGTTGTATATACTACAGCAATGAAAAAAGCAAATTCTGTTCAGAATGAGGACCTAAAGTGGCTTGCATCGTTCGATTCTCCTCCACTTTATTCTCTCAAAAAAGTGAGGTATGTTAGGCTGAGAGAGAATGACTGGTCTAAGGTCAACAAGCTTCCGTGGCACGTGGATTCAAACATGGGTGTCCCAGATCATAGTCCAGTATTTGAACCACTACACTGTAGCAGCTTGCAGCTAGGCATT